TATTTTCGAAAACCTCCCACAATCAGGTTGGTCCGGCCAAGACCGCTTTGGAGGTCCTTCAGCAGGCAAGCAGAGCGTCGGGCGGGCTACGCAAAGCTGGCACGTGAACAGCAGTCATTGCAGCAACACTCACAACAACTATTGCAATAGCAATTACCTTTGAGTCAAAGGAAAGGGCGCATGAAGGCGAGAATGGGTCCTCGTGACAATGCCTCTTCATGGTCATCATCATGCCCAGGAGCACCATCACCATTACTATCATTATAAGTATCATCGTCACCATCTGAATCATACCGGTGGTATAGGGCACAATATTAATCAAAACCCTACACATCTTACACTCACCAAAGCCAAACTCTCCGTCTCAGGAGTGGGTTCCCACTCGTATCGCCGCACATCAGAGCAAGTGCGCCATACTGTTTTCATCAAGCTGGGCCAAGTTTAAGGTCAAACCCCCTGATATGAAGTATGTCCTCATTACAGCTGCAGATCATCCACAAGAAATTCTTCCTAAATGGGGTACGGAGAGTGACTCATAAATACATGGTGCTGCTCCCAGCAAGATTCATGCCTTGAAATCAGCCTTTGGACAAACATGCATTTCAAGTGCTCACATCACCTTCTACCACCTCTCTAGCACGCTGCCCAAAGAAGGGGTAGCATGCACACTGCATGCGTGTTACAGCCTGCAAGGGTCCTTGCATGCAAGGGCCCTTGTCGTACTGGTACCGCATGGCTTCTGCTCAACGCGCAAACACTCCCATGCAAAATGCCCCCAAAATTCCTGAGCAGAAAGATTCTAATTCAAAGACTCTGCCCATCTGTTGACACCTCATCGCTGACTTCCAGGATGCTGAGGTTGGAGAAAACCTGCTGTCTTTCTGAAGGCTGCAAGATGCATCAGAGGCTTGCCTTGGCAAGGGGAAGTGCGCTGCTTTCTAGGCAGGAAATGCTCCGCTGTCATGCCGCGCAGGAGGAGTTCATGGAATCACGTCTTTCCCGTCCATGCATTGACATTTCACACGTATATGACTCAACAGCCCCATCGCACATCTGCCTGCACCCAGGATCACGACAAGCATGCTCCAAGCATAACTATGTGCAGCAGTACGGCAGTTCTCCTTCTGCAAGGCAACTCTGCATAGCAACTCCTAGATAGCTCTGCTGCCACAATTTCAGGCAATTTCAGAGGGTTGCGAAAACATCTCTCGGGTTTATTGGTTTGGCGCTAACATCTCTCCTCACGCAAATCCTTCTATGACAGCTGATGCAAGACTCTCGTTTTCTACTTTTGTTCAGGCACAGGATGTTGCTTGCAAGATATGATCCTCCGTGCCCGAGCCTTGGCGAAGTAGCCTTCACTGTCTCCTGCTGCTGCGCAACTTAGGGCCCTGTCTGGCACATCCTGCCATGCGGTGCAAAAGCATAAGACTCTGGAGATTTACAGCACAAGAATAACCTAAGCCGAGGAATTTGGAGTAAGGGACTTGTCTGTCTCAAAGGTGGGTGCAGTGAAATGTAACCAGTCGTCGAGATTGAATCTGCTTGCTAGCGCTTCCTTTCCCTTTCCATTTGGGTTCCTACTGCAGAATAAGATACTCCCTGGGATGGAGCCACCTGTCCCTCACCCCCTCATACCCTCTCCCCAACTGTCGTCACAAGATCTAACCGCTCTCAGGGCTTCGAACGCCCATTGTTTGCAAGGAGATTGGCAACGCAGGCCAATGAGAGTTGGCTTGCATTTTGGACTATGCAGGGTTTGTTCAAGCAGGATCTCCACAGAGACATCATGTTTATCGGAATGGGTGGAAGCGTGGGCAGGAACCACAAACAAACTCAAACAAGGCTGCTGCGGGGCGTGTCCTCACAAGAAAGGCGCTCATCTTGCATCTGGGACATGGATTTCTATAAGTCGAAAGCCGGGCCCTTGGAGGACAAGCACTCCTCAAACCAAGCCAGCAATGCTGATCGGCGCCGCGGTACGACAGACCCAGTGCTTCCCAGGCTATGGGCAACTTGGGCAGGGTCATGGATCTGGTTGGTCAGAAAATGTCGAAAACACTCTTTCCGCGACGTGAGTTCTTTGATCTTTCACCATTGTTACGCAAGTCTACTCAGCACCGTGCCAAAGCCTTGCTATCGTGGACCGCTGTACAAACCCTCACTCAAAAGCTCAGGGCAGGGGCTGAAGATGTCTTGTAAGGTGGCGACTGCTGCGTGGCGTGTCCGGTGTGTTGAAACCTGAGCGGGTCGCATGCAGCTGGCATTATGCGACTCGGACCTAACACGCGCGCGCGCGCGCGCGCGGTCCTTCACGCGACATGTACACTGCGTTAAAACAAAGTTTTGACAGTCCTGCCTTTAAACTTTTAGCAAAAGCATCTCAGGTTCACAGCTCTGGGCTCAACTTTCTAAATCGCGACTGGATTGAGACTGGATAAAGTTCCAGGCTGTTAGCAAGTACAGCCCAATCCTGCAGTGCATGCTGGTTTGTTTGCTTGAACCTCCGGCCGGGACACCACTTGCGAAAAAGAACCTAGGACCGCACGGCTCATGTAGCCCTTGTATACCCCCTATACAGCCCTATAGCCCGCATATAATCCATCCCGCGCCAGGTTACCCGAAGCACGCTGCTCTGCGGAGCTGTCGCTCGGCGAGTCGGGCTGGCCCTGGTTTAGGGATTAGGATGCGTTCTCAGGTTGCCAGAATTTCAGCAGGGCCAACGTTATGCTTGTGAAGGCATATCCTCATGTATGTAGCGTACAGTGAGAGTCAAAAGCAACGTTTGGAGATCGAGCGCTTGCTGTGTGTCGACTTCTTTCAGACAAAGGTCAGATTCGCAGCTGTCAAATGCGGATCGGTGGGACTCGTCAGCTACAAGTAGCCTGAAGCTCAGGGCATGTGTCTTTCTAGAGATGATCGGAATACCGATTGCATCACATCCCACTTGAGATGAACAGCCGTAGTTGGAGGGGTCCAGCCGAAGTAGTTTTGAGCGTCAAGGGTGTAAATTTCGTTCAAGTTGAGAGCGGTGGGAAGTACAAACCCTTCCCGCCAAAAAGCTTGAACAAACTACGTAGGCCTACTTGCAACAAGCGTCAGGGCATGTTGGGGCTGGAAGATTTGCACAGCAGAAACTGCAGAAGCTTGGGATGAAGACATGCCAGGGGTACACTTCCGGCCACAGGAGAGCCCATCAGAGAACTTGTCAGGACATCAAACCTGCACTCTGTTGAAAGAAGTTTTCCCCAAGGACTCATCACACAAGAGTCCGTTAAAGACCGATTCCTCAAAGACTTCTTTGCCACATCTGCTGAATAACATTACAGGCTCCACCAAGCAAAGCGCCAACATCTCGCACTACTTGGAACGCGTATTGCTGCACTGTCAGAAATCGGATTATTGTCAACATGAAGCAGCACTTTCAGCAGCTCACGCAGGGCTTGTTGAAACCTTCATGTAAAGTTCAGCAGTTTCTGCTTGTCATCGTATGTAGCTGTTAGCTGCCTTTTACTACGCAAAAAGGAAGCGAGCTGTAAGCACATGCAAGCAAATGTGTCCACTTGAAGCCGAAAAACCTCTTGCAGGCCATGCTGATAGTGGGACGCCGATCAGCATCGCGCACCAACAAATACCTTGACCAGCAGAAGCAGAAAGCCATGATCAGCAGGGCCAAATCAGCTCATGTCGTGCTACTTGCTTGCCAACAGATCCACGCTAAACTTCTGGCAACCCAGGCGCCTGAGGTACTCCAGAAGGGGGCCTTTGTTGTCGAGCCGGCGCTCGTTCGCCTGGCTCCAGGCTTTTTGACTTAGCGTAAGCCGCCTGCAGATGTGTGGAGTTAAGGATCTACTCCCCACAGCTGCCGATAAATTCTCGATGTATAGCACTCCCACCAATCCTCATTCCCAGCAGTAGTAGTGCCTCGCTTACCACGTCCTGGCCGGACTTTCCTGTGGCACATGCCTCAGTTTCCGGGGAAGACGATTCGAGGCATGATATTATAGATATGATTGCGCATTGAAAATACCAACGATGAAAATGATGCGGAAACTCAGGCCTGGAATTGGTAATCTAGTTCAGGGGCTTCAGCGTTGCCTGCCCCAAAACCTTTGGATGACTCCATACGAACCCCACTAGTCAGGCCAACATGCTTCTAAAAGGCCTGGCAGGTGCAACCTTAAGACACAAGCCACACAAGTGGCCATGGACGCCGAGGTTGTCCCCGCAACTGCATGCCAGGCTGCCCAATGTGTTGCGAAGTCGTAGTCCTGCAGGTTATTAGCCAGGAGACGCGGAACCCATCAGGAATGAGAACCCTGCCGGTCACAACAACACGGCTTCTATCTTTCTTGTAGCTGGCAAGACAGAGATACAGCGGGGGAAGACTGAACGCTGGCAGGAGTTGACTGTCAGTAAGCCCAAAGATGATCATGGATACAAAGCTACATTCCACTGAGAAGTTACTGAAAGAGCCTACACATGCAAATTCCGTTTGGAATCCCAAGCAAGTCCCCGCGGTAGCCTCAAAGAGGAAGCGGCCGGAGAGCAGCTCGAAGAAGAGGCAACCTAGAGACCAGATGTCGGCCGCCTGGCATGCTGCACCAGCCCACGTTACGTGCGCCAGATCCCAAAACTACCGACACTCCTCTCTCCTTTCTGCATTGCGAGCTTGACAATGCCCTCAACAAACTTGGCTGAATTCTTGACTAGGACTTCGCGCAACCGTAGAGATGCCTGTCGGGAGCTTGATGGCCCGCAATGCTTGAATTTAAATGGGGGTTTACCTAGTTTTGTATTCTACAGCAACACTAAACGGATTGCTGGACTCCTCTGCTTTCTCCGCGCTCTCGCTCAATTGTCTCTTGGAACGCCTAGAGTGAAAACAATGCTCACTTGCTGTTTGGCTTAGCAGGCAAGCAGGAAAATGCCGGTGCAATATTGCAATGGCCCTGCCCAGGCTTTGTGTGCAGACACCATCACCAGCTGATTGAAAATCTTTAGCTCTTCAAAAACGAGCGGAGCTGTCTGCTTACCCACTCGATACTTGTGCAGGTGCTAAGCGCCGCTTCGGTAAGAGTTACCCTTTCCGAAGTTGAGTCAGAGTCATCAGCAGTCACGACCTCGCCGACAAACTCCAGAATGTGTGACACGATGTTCGGCCTTGGCCCAGAACTCATGAGGCAGACGACTTTGCATGGCTCCCTATAACTCCTTAATTCGCAGAATATGTGCCTTCCAAAATCCGCCCCTTCAGCCTCCTGTGCTCTCGCGAGGAAATCTAAAAAGTCAACCGCGGACATTAGCAAATCGACCATCCTCACAAGCCTTCATTCAAGTCCAAGATCCTGAGTTGCTGATGACGTCGAGCATAATCAGCAAAGAACATCCTTGGCACTTTGTATTGCGATTGCTTTCAAAACTGATGGCATGCAAGAAGCTCACAGTGGTCAGCTTTGCAATGGACTTGACTGAAGCTCAGCCCATAGTCTGCAGCCATCCGAGTTCGCACTGGCTAGCAACTACCTACGTACACCCCTTCCCCCGACCCCGGCACTCCGTATGAGTGAGCATCGCTTTCTGTGCACCCAACAGCCGAGGCAGGTGCGCGATAGTGCTTACAATTAACAACATGGCAAGCTGGGCTGGTCAGCATTTACCGTGAGAGCTGCACGAGCTATGGCACTGAGGAGTGGAAATAAGATCCACACCTCTTTTGCCAGAGGCTTCCGGGCTCATACCACTGCAACGGCAGCGTCAAATTATTTGCGTCTCCAAGGGGCTGGGCATGGGCACGCATCTTCCTTTCAAGCCAGATCTTCTTGACTGCCAGCACTGGTTCCAAGCTTTCTGCCTGGGCAAACATCTTGTGGACTGAACCTTCAATCACTCACCATGCGTGTAGAAATCGTGGGGCCCACCCAGTCCCTTGCCCGTGTCAGCCTTCCCCCTCTTCTGCCGCACAATGCGATCAAAGGCTTGCCTCAACTGTCACGAGAAAGGAGGAAGCTGCTATTCCGGTGGCAGCTGCGGGGTGTCAGTCCATGCTTGAAGCTAGAAGGGTCGTGAGCGCTCGCTCTGGGAAGTCGGAGATGAAAGCTTCCATGGGAATGCTATCAGGTGTGCAAACAGAAATCACGTTGCAAAATGAAGGAAGGCCGGAACCTGGTGCGCAAAAGCCAGCTCGCATTGATATTTCGTGTTGCACCGTCCATGTGAGTATGAGAGCTATCCATATTAGAGGACAAGAGATCCTCCGAGTTCTATGTTCTATGCGAGAGTTTCTCTGAATAAGGGGGCTCCGATGCATACCCCAAAATACAATTCCTTGATATAGGGACCCCAAAAACTACAACTAGTCTCGGAAACCCCCATGTCACCGTCCAGGCAACATTGAAGTGAAACGGCTGGCGGTCGGACGGCTGAAGGTCCTGACCACCTGCAAAGGACCACAAGTTTGGAGCTGCTTTTGGAGGTCCTTGTACCAACGTTAAGTGCACTGCAATGAAAGCATAAGGAAAGAAGGAGCCATCCTCCTGATGGACTTTGCGGCGTTCTACCCTTATGGCCCTCGCCACTGGCGTTGCCACCACCGAGGCCACCACAGCGATGGCTGCTCCCCTCCTCTTGGTCCCTATACTACTACTTTCGCCTCGACTTTGCCTCCCTCTACTTTTAGTAGTAGCAGGAGCTGCCTAAGCCGAAAAAGCTTTCAAGCTAGAATGTGACCAAGTATGCATGCCTCCTGTCTGTAACTCATTATTCGGCTAAAAGACAAATGCGGAGGACACTTGAGGCCCGAAACTGAAACCGAAACCATACTGCGTGCTCCTGGCCCAAGAACAACAACTGTTGCGAACATATAATGATAAGGACAATCCTTTGGATCTTCACTACGATTGTCCTTACCTGGACCCTTGTCAGCATTTTGGCTGTGATACACACATCTCTGCTTGTGACGATATGGGGAACTACGACTGAGACTTATCACCCCAACCCGGTCCCGAAGGAAATGGCAAGCAAAGGTCTGGCGATTCGTCTTCTGACTGCGTGGTTCTTGTCAAGACGAGCATTCCACACACATGTGTATGATTTCCAAACCTCCAAGAAGACGTTCCGGGCACGGAAATAATGACGTATTTCGGGGGCCTTAACCATGTACGGAAGCTGGAGGCTGGGACATGCCTGGACTGGATATAAGCGACACCCTGCACAATTTGACCCCACGTACACCTCCCCCCAATACATTGAGTTGGTGCCATACGTCATTCCACTGACTCTGGACTTGAAATACGAGGTGAGAGACGCAGCGCAATGACTTTGAGAAACCTCCAAATCAAGCCGAACTCCAGTTCAAAGCGGCACCCTCCTCAAGCAAAGCTTCACGTGAGGTATGCTCAGAAGCCAGAAACGAAGGGCCTGGTCTTTGAGATTCTCGCTCGGTGAAGACCTCACCTCCTAGCACGGGAAGCTGATTCGCGCATTGCAACATGACCCGAAGATGAAGAGATGACCAAACGATACTCTCCCTCAAACCCAGCATGTACAATGTACCCCCTGATATTGGGGATCCAGACCTATTTGGACCACACAGCCTTCTTGATGGGGGTGCGGTCAAAGGAGATCAGAAGAAAGCGAAGCAGCGTCCCCTCGATGAAATTGAACATTAATTGGGTGACCATGGATTGTGAAGGCTGTTGCCCTGAGTCGTAGAGTCTGCAGAAAGCGAAGAGGCACCACAGGCTGAAAAAAAAAGTCGCTCCCGCGCTAGTTTCCAAGAGCGGCATAATGAGGCACAAGTATCCTATTCCGTGGTGCGCCAAGCATTCTGCCAGCATCTCCAAGCTGCCCAAGAGGAGCAAAGGGCCCAAAAAAGCCAGCAAGGCCAAGTATGACACGCCAATGTAAAAGCTGCGACTGCTGTGAGGGTCCTCCAGTACATAGAAAGCGTTGTGCTCACAAATGGCGTCCCTGCAGTACCAGCCTGCACCAGCAGTCAGAGCCGCGCACGAGCAGAAAAAAACAGCAATCGCAACAGCCGGTGACTGCTGCCGTCCATCATTCTCTGCTTGCGGCGCCACGCGAGGATACCAAAGTCTAAGAAGCAGCGACACTGGCCACTAGCCGAGGCAAAGTGCTCGAGCATGATGCCGAGCACCATCAGACACACCCGAACAAACCACGAACTTGGGAACAGCCATGAGCAATGAGCTTGCCATCTCGCCGCTCTGGCTCAATTAATGCAATGCATCGCTGCTACATGAAGCCGGTATATTAAGCTTGGGCCAAAACATGAAGGGCAAGCTTGCATCATTGTGAAATTGGATGACAAGAGTTTAGACGGTTGAAAGTCATGAGCGGTGTATGCAGCAAGCTGCATCATGTCTGGCCTGTATGGACAGCTATGCATTCTTTGAAAGAAGACGTCTTTTCAGACCATCCTTCAGTGGGGTCTAGCCCCAGAAATGCAGCCAAGTTTGACCAGTTTGGGGGGTTCGACTCCCCCACACTCCCTTAGTACAGATCAGCATAGCTGGGTTCAAGACAAAAGCTTGGGAAAGCTTTCGTAACAAGACTGGGCTGCATCGATAGAGCAATCGAACAATCGAGTCTTGTAAAAACTAACCCAAGAGCATGCGTGCCGCAACTTCAGGGTTGGCTTCGCAAGTCCGCTGACTTTTGTCTGCCATGCATTCGACAGGAACTTTCCATCCTCCAGCCGAAAACGAAAATGAGAGTTTGAGAGACGCCTTGTTGGTGCCCACACGCTTCCGCCGGTCGTGTGCTTTGGAGTCTCGCCGGCTCACCTGGCGAAAAACTCAGTTGCTTGCTCTTGAAAGACTGCGTCCCTGGTTGTTGTGAAAAATGCTTGGTGGCCCGGACTATTTTGTTGATAAATATGAAAATCTGCATGGGCGAAGTAAACTATCATGTCACAATTCCCAAGGTATAACGTACTCAGGGTCATGCCGGAGTCTTTGTATCCACCGTAGTTTGGCTGCACCCTCTCTTGCTTGCACTCTGCAGCTACACCATGTAACATGCTGGGTCGTCCCGAGAAATTCCAAACTTCTACTGCAATTGCATTCTTTCGTGGAAAGTATTCAGAACACCAAACGCAGTGATAACGTCAGACCGAGGATACTAAGACAACCCATAATGAGGAACTGACCTAAATACGAAGACCCTGTACGAAAGTCCACCGCTCCTGACAGCAACTGTGTAATCAAGATTGAGCTTGTGTTTGCACTATTGATCACAATTGCAATGCAGTTTCAGCAATGTCAGGCAGTGACCCATGGATTCCGAAGCCCAAATCATGAACCATATGTGGACACATGCCGTGATGTCTTACAGGTTGAATAGTGCAAAACTACTTTCTTGGGTACCTACTCAAGCTAGAGCGAGCATGCAATGCTCAAAGCACATTGTCTCATTGCTTAAGCTTCTACATTGCTTTTTACAGCCCCAGACAGCCCAGCCAATCCCAAACCTTCCAGCCAAAGAAAAAATACGAATCCCAGGTTCCATTGCATGCTCCATGTTCTTTTTCCAGTTGATTCCCCATTATTCTTATTCGGGAACGAAATCCCCATATATCCCGACATATCCTTATATATCCCTTTCAATCCCTGTGAATCCATATATATCCCTATTTACCCTTGTATACCCCACATTTAGCCAAAAGAAGAAGCAGTAAGCAAGCATAGGGCGCAAAGTCGATCTCAAGCATCTCAGGGCCCTGTGCAACAGAGGGGCATGCTGTGTCGGAGCAAAAACGTTTAGGGCGAAAAGTATACTACAATCAAAAGGGTTTAGGGCTTAGGTTTAGGATTAGGGTCAGGGTTCAGAGCTTCCACCCAGGGTTTAGGGTTATTAGGTTTGGATAGGGGGATATTGGGGATGGAGCAGAAAAATGGAAACTGCTAGGATGATATAGGGCTATACCCCAATACTGGAGAGTCAAGTGGAAAAGAAAATGGACAGTGAAATGGATACTGGGCTTATGTGCAGGCTGTAGGGATCAGTGTGATTAGTAACCTAGGGTTCAAGGCTATGTTATTGATTCATCTTTGTATTAGTCGTGTCATGATTATTATTATTCTTATTCGTAGTAGTATTCATATGGCTACTATTGTCATTATGACTGTGGGTGGTACACCAGCAACACTTTCGGAAAGGGGGAAATGATTGGGAAGTATGATCTGTACTCTCCATTGGAGTCCATGAGCTCATCGGCTGAATAGGATGTAGGAGCTTTGCTTCAGAGTCAGGCTTTATGGTCATCGAGCAAGGCCTCGAATGATAAAAAGGCTCCTTATGAACATTCAAACAGACTGATGGGCTGGCTGCAAAACCATAGAGACAAGGGATCTCCAGGAAAGTGTAGCCAAGATCTACGCGATGCTTGCGCACTCATGATCATAACTGCTGACATGCCTTCAACTGCTCTCTACAATCCTCCTGTGTAACTGCTCAATGCAGACATGGTAGGTCAAGAAGCTCATACAATACGAATACAGACCTAGATGATACCGATAGACCTACTGCGCAACCCCAAACACTAAACTGCATACTGCAACATGGCAGTTTCCATAAATAGGGGGGGCACCAATAGACCCCGAAGTAATAGAATCCTTGTGGAACCCCGAATCTTTGGAAACACTAATCCCCATGAACCACTATGTACTGTAAACCCCGTTCCCATTTCATCTTCCATTGTCTTTGCAATGTGACTTTCCATTATTGCGGATGTGTACACACATATAATATGACATAATATAATACAGTATGATATGATATTATCTCTCTCTCTCTCTCTCTCTATACAGCCCTATTTATCCCCGTGTATCCGTATGTATCCCGATACATTCCCGTATCCCCTTTCAACCCCTAGTATGGTAGTCTCCATAAGTAGGGGGACCCCAATATAGATCCCAAAAAACGAGAATCCTTATTATGGAAACCACACAAATGGCACCGCTAATTTTAGGAACCCAACCCTAAACACTAAACCCTTAACCTTAAACCCTTAATCCAAAATCCCCAATATATTCCCTACATTTCATCCTGGCAGGGCCTTGATGATCTCAGTTCCCCGATTGCGAAGGTCAAGCTCGAAGGGGTTCTGCAAACTTCTCATAGTTTAAGGCTTCGGGTTTAGAGATATAGTTACCTAATATAGAAGGCTTCTTTAAAGGGATTTTATCAGGATTATTTAGGATTATGTGAGGATCATACTATAGGGGGATCATGTAGGGGTCATTTGAGGGCTAGATACAGTAGGGGTTTATGTACGGTTTGGGACCAGAAGCAGGATAGCAACGGAGCAGATCATGAAAGGTATCGCCAATGTTCATAAGAAAAAGGCAGAAGCGAGCTTCGTGGCTTTGTTGATCCGCTGTGTATCTGCCCGCATTGCTCTCTCTTTTTCGAGGGCCTTACCGGCAGGGTCTGCAATTTGTAGTGTTGCACATAACGCGTCCGGCATTGTTTTGGAAGAAGCTCTATTTGCAGGCTAGTTCCCACGCTCATCTTTGACCTAACTCAGTTGGTGGCATGGCTCACGTTAGGCTGTTGTAGGCATTACAGTCACTAAGTTGGATCATGCTGCGTTCAAGTACTGATCAGATTATCAAACCAAGGATAACCAAGGATAATGTTGCATGGCGGACATCTTTAGGGCTGTGAGGACTTGGCCTCTCCTCTCCATGTCAGTTCTAGCGTGACACAACCACAAGATTTAAGAACATACTGTCCCTACACCAACTCGTCCCGCAACATCCGGTTGTGGCACTGGTCAATCGAAATCGAAGTGCCCAATCCTTGAAGTAGTCTTGAAGTGCTGGTAATGCTGCCAGAAAAAGGATGTCGGTAGTTCTGGCAGGCCCGTATCACTCCGCAGACATCACCCCGTCTTGTCTGTGCTTTTGTTGTGCTATGCAAGTGTGGACTTCATGGTTTCTTTTTGTGCTGTAGAAGTGCAGAATTCAATGTTTTGACGACCAAAACAGAACAGAGGCTATGCAACAGGGAGCGGATGCGCTTATGGAAGAAGATAAATGCCGGCATCCCGGCCTGCCACTCAATCCGAACTGGCGTGGACGATGAGAGTGCAGCTTAGCTGCTTAGTTCTTACTGTCAGCCGTGTTCACACCCTCAATGCGCATGTCTTCCACATTCCTCAAGCAGCGCTAATTCATCAAGACCAATGTTCCTGAAGCGAAGATACTTCAAGTTGTGCTTCAAGCATGGGGCAGCCACGTGAATGCCTCCATCATGCGCGATTCCCCGAAATCAACCAGCGCTATCCGCGGGACCTGCCACAAGAGGCAAGGCTACAACAAGTGACAAATCTTGGTTGCTTCAGCCCCTAAACCCCAAACCCTACACCCTAAACCCTAAATAAATCCCCCAAGCTGCCCAAGACCGAGGTACAGCGCCCCCCACCTCCTCCCAAGCCTCCGAGTCCCCAACTGCGGACTCATCCTGATGGATCAGGTTATTTCCAAGGTTGCCCAAATAGAAGGGTTTAGGGTTTAGGGATTCTATAGGGAATATATAGGGAGTGTATAGGAAATATATAGGGAATATAGAGAAATTATATTGGGAATATAGAAGGAATATATAAGGAGTGTAGAAGGAACATAGAGGGAATACATAAGGAGTATATAAGGAGTCTATAGGGAATATATGGGAAATGTAAAGGGAATATGTGGGGGTTGTAGAAGCTACTTGTAGGACTCTGACGCAAGTTGGAGAGAAGGTCTTGGCATGCGTTGGATTCCAGTATATGTGCCACAGCAAATACCTGCCCAAAATTGCGGGTACAACTTCGTGCCGATTGAAGGTGCTGCTGCTCCGATGGTTGCTACCGATTGTCAAAAAAGCTCTTTCGTCGACAGGGCGTCGTCTTGAGAAACACGTCTTGCATTACACTCTGCATGCCAAACCTTCACAAATTCCACCCTTTTCTCCTATATAAACACAGTATAAGCCCTACATAATTCCTATATAGTTTTAATTCGTACATATTCGCTATATCTTCTGACAGGTTAAGCTTCACTTTGCTTCAGACAGGTGGCGATATCGCTGCCAGGGATCCAGAGAGGCCTGATCGGAAATTATCCCCCAGGGTTGTATTAGGGTTAAATAGGGACTCAGCGACAATGCCGCGGTGTTCACGGGGGTTCAAAAGGTGCCGGCATGGATTTAGGGGTAGCAATCAGTCATGCCCAAACGCACAGAAATCATGAATCCGGCCGCGCCCAGGGGCTGGGATCGACCCATGGTCTGTGCAGGTTGTTTGTGCCGGCGAGCGGCCCTTACCTCTTGCAGTAGAATCCTGGTGAAACCCCAAAAAATCCGAATGTGACTTGTTACCACGCAATAATGACTGCGGCTTATGTTGGTGGCTTGGATTTTTAAGCCCTGTGCCATGCTATCTTTGTCAATACTCGCCACGGTCGCGCTGCTGCCTGCAGGATCCTTCCAAGAACCCTCACGCAAGTAGTTAGAAGGTTGCGTAGAAGCTCATACCGCGTCACTTTGGTTGTAGTTGCATGCTGTTAGCCACTGCATACTCGCACACTTCTAAGGCTTGGAGGCAATCTGAAACAAGTCGTTGCTGTAGGTGCCTGCAAGCTGATGCAATAGCGCTTGCTACATAAGACCCTTTATGACGCGCAACACCAACGCAGATTACTACATGGTATGGCCTGGAAGAAGGCCTACAGACGGAGGTTCATACTCCCAAAACCGGAAGCCAGGCATGCAACTCCTCTACAGAATTGCCATAGCTTGCCTTTTCTCTAACGGCCTCAGCCCAGCACTTCTGGGCGGCTTCAATCATGATGTTGTCACACTTCAGATCGTAGTGGACGATATCATGCTTGTGAAGCGTGGCCACGGCCTTCGAAAGAAAGAGGTATCTTGAAAGAGAAGCACTGCTTTGCTACATCCCAATATAGGAGACGGTTATAATCCGCCACTCTCCACTGAGGGGGGCAGCTTCGGCGCAAGGGCCCATGCTTGTGGTACATGTATGACCCATGGCCTCCAGGATTTGTTTGAAGATTGCTAGCAGCACAGGAAGATGGTCGCCCATTGTCCTCAAAAGCTTGAGGCTTGGGCAAAGCACGCTTGCCAGTCGTCGTGAAGGGCATCAGCTTTCTTTTGCCTTAAACTAACTAATATGTCTTCAAGGCCATTTAAACAATGCACCTCTAAGAGCAGATGCTCAATTTTCAAAGCATAACCCTCGCAGCTCTGGGCTCCAGGACAAGTCCAGCTGCTCGCGCCACCTGCCCAACGTCTTGCTAGATCGAGGTGTGGGTTGAGCCTGCCATCCCACAGCCAACCCTTGGGTTTGAGATGGTTTGAGCGTATTGGGGTCCGGTCCACCTGCAGGCCCAAACCAATGTCGACAGCATTGCGCAGCGATAAAAAGCTATACATTTGTAATACCAAACAAGGGCTGCCGATGTGGATGTGCCAACTGGACATCAACTCAAGGGTTTTTGTTGCTAAAGCAGGCCAAGCCAAGCATTTCGGAAACGAGTGGTTCATCAGAAATGTACTGCACTGATCACACGAAGACACATCTGGTTTGAAGTACAACGGCATCAGCAGCACCAGCACCACCTCCACCACCTCCACCACCTCCACTGCGCTGCCATCATCTGGTATCAAGCCGGAATATCCGCCAGCAGTGGGGAGAAAGCACTTTGCACCTCTTCAGCGTGGTGCCGTAACACCTTGGCTGCTGAGATTGTTGTTGAAAATCGTTCGACAACCTCCCGCAAATGGCAGCGGTCTGGTTTTCGAGCGAGCCCGAAGCAAGAACTCTACAACAAAAGCAGGTCGCCCTTAAGGTGGTACTTCAGGCTGTTTCTGTTGGCGCATTTGGGCTAAACTCTGGGCTGAGCTTTGAGGCGAGCTGCTTCATGACTATCCAGTAACAAGACTCCTCCACCCCGAAGTCGTAGATCTGGCAGAGGTAATCCTGAACAGCCAGGAGAAATGCAGCCAGAAACCTTCGCCTGGAAACAGGCTCATTTTCTTCCACAAAAGAAAAGGCTCGTCTTTGGGGTCCGTTTTCCACTGATCCTCATATTAGCGGCTATGCCTTCAGGGTCCTCAAGTTGCAACATAGCCATCGTGTAGTGTCACAGTGCCTGCCTTTGGCTTGTAGAGATCAGAAGAGCGATCAGAGCGCTGAGGCAGCCGCTTTCATGAAAGCGCAACAACACATGAACGATGACAACAATGATGCCCATCGTGAACACAATATTCCTTTGAAAAGATACAGCAGAAGCAGTGGTGGCGATGTCAACAGGAAGCAGCCAGGCAAAGCAGGAGCAGAAGTACTTCATTGCAATCTTGAAAGAACTAGCAACCAGAAGAGTGGTTTTGGGAGTTTGAGGGTCTGGGAGCATCGAGGTCAGCTGTGTGAGTTGAGACTGGGCCTCCCTTTGGTCTCAAGTCCTATTAATAGGGTCCATAATTCTGGAAACTGCAAGTCAAAAGCAAAGAACTAGTTGCACTGCTGCCTGAATTACTAGGTGTCGTTTGACTTCAATCTAAATTTCGAGGCCATCACATGTTTGAAAGCAATCACAACCCTGCGGAACACATGCGAAACTTCAGGTTCTACATAATCCTTATGCGCTGTGGCCACCAGCTCTTTACATTAGATCCAAGTGGCCCAAAGATATACTTCATTTAAGGCGTTCAGGGCTTTCGGAATCTCAAGTAGGCATCATTTGCAGACTTGTAGCCCCAGCGGCATGAACGAGCCGCCCTACACCCCGGAAACCCCAAACCTCTCGACCCCCTTAGCTGGTACCGCTTATCTGCTAAAACGATCCGTCCCATAGTTTCTGGGCGGTTAACAGCGCTCCTCGAAGCGTACCGTGTCCAAGCATGTTATCTCATTGAAGACGTCCACCAAGACACAGCGGTCCTGCACACAGCCGTCGTGCGGCAACAAACAACTTGTCGCCAAATGTTGCGCATGCACATCTCATGAGAACTACATCTACGACATACGCAACTATTCGTATGCCGTTGGAGGTGCTCGTATAGCGGGTGTCGGCATCACGTGGGCGACTGCGAATGTTGATGAATATTGTAACATGTCAAGTGGATCTGAGAAGGGCATTTCAACGTGCCCATTCACTTGGATTGTAGCCACCTTTCCATTACAAAGCTTGCGGCTCTGAGGTTGTCCTGGATATTGGTCTGCTTTGGGATGTGCTTGATGGCCACCTGCAACACTACTGCCCCATCTTACGGTCCGTGGCGTCTCATAGACAGAATAGGCATACAAGGATCTTCAGCAATGTTTTTTCAGTGCTTCGACGGATTCCGTTTGACCTGGCTTGCCTTTCACTTGGCTGGGACTTGCGCGGATCAAGTACAAGCGCCGTACTACGAGAGAAATCACGATTGGTGTCTTCTGCGCCAGCAAAGCCAAACCACCCATCCGAGCCTGCAGATTGCCCTGATTGCCGACCGTGACTCCGCTTTGCATCACCTGGCATAGGGGATTGCGTGAGATAATCAAATCTCGCCACACGGCTTCAGCGAGTGATTAGCTCATTAGCCGTTCCTGCTGGACCCAGCAGCACGGGACAGAGCACAGGAGTGGTACTGCGCTTTGGCAAACATGAATTTCAAGCAGGTTGGACTTTGAATTTGGGTTTGGGGAAGCCTGCATCGAGCAACGGCAACAGCCCACATGACTGCGCTCGCAGCTACAGGGACTGCAACAAAACAAGATCCGTCAATAGCCATGCATAGCTGAAATTACTCCTCGTATGCTGCGACCGCATGATACAGACGTCATATATACTGCGAAGACAACATGAAACATCGTGACACAGACTGCGGGAAGAATCACGCGGAATAAATGCCGCTTAATACGAGTCTTTACAAGTCAATTAAAGAATTGAGGCACGGGCCGTTCCGAACTGGCCCTGCCCCACCACTCGCATGTTAGTGTACCTGTCCAGGTTGCAGCTCTGCGATACGCAAGAGCCATCATAAACACCACAGTGTGGAATGCTGTGCGTAAAGTCATTCCAGCAAGTACTGGAGCAGCTCCAAGTTTTTCGGTTGAGAACCTGATCTAGCGGCCATGAGTATCATGCATTCCAAAAGTTTGCGAAACACGTAAGGCAACACTTGCCCTACAGCTAAGTACGACTTCAGGGCAACTAGCGAGATGTTCGGAAGTATTTGGCACCATCTTCTCCATGGAGTGTGTTGTAGCTAGTGGTACTTCCAAAACGACCCAGCATGAACATGATTGTCCAGGATCTTGGGGAATCTTAGAAAACCTTCTCAGGCGTGGCACAGCGCAAGCCATGCGGACGTAAGAAACGCATACTCTCGGCACTGCAGCACTCCAGACATGGAAGGCGCACATCCACCGGTGCATAGCGGACTCCACGAGAAGCTTCAGAAGGCGGAGCTCACCGATGCGCCCGATCTGGTCCACCTCCAGCCATGCTTTAACTTGCATGAAGATTCACATGCAGGCAGTACGGAATAAAGCCCACAGTACAAAGCATGAGTTTCCTTTAGGCCCAGTGACTCCAAGGCATGTTGGAAGCCTGCCAGCCTGAAACCGCGGCAGAAACTCTTCAGGCCTGCTGGAAGACCCAGGGCAACACGCCCCTGGCCAGACCATGAGCTGAAGCTGAAGTCTGACAGAAGAGACAGCCTATTGGGGTTATATGGTGATAATGGAAAAGAAAACGGAAACTACTATATTATGTAGGGTATATATTGGGGTTATATGAGGATAATGGAAAAGAAAATGGAAACTACTTTCGCATCCAAACTGAAACAGCAGTCCTGCCCCTGAGCTCAGATGATGCATTGCTGAGGCTGATATTGAGGGCTTCCACTTGGAAAGGCGGCAGCTGGTATGCACATTTTGCCATGCGAAGTTGCCACTCCAACTTTGACTCTACAACCGTACATCTCCCCAATCTCACAGCCAGCACTTGGCTGTTAAGCCGAAGTACATGCTGTGTGATGTTCCTCCGTGGCACACCAGATACTAGCGTGGCATTCTGAACCGGAGTCGCTGAGCCTTTCTTGCAAATTGCATGCCTCCAATTGCCCTGAATCTCTGATACTCCTCAAGTGCCACTGGACTCCAAGCTCTCGATATGAACCTTGTGGGCTGCGCGCCCTTGAACTGAGCTGGAATCTCCTTCAGAGTTTCCCCCTCAGAGGTGAGTCTTGCACAGGCGCATCTCAAGCCAGGCTGCAGGGATGTCATGTACCCGACGTTAGACAACCTAACATCATCCACACGACAGGCTGGCAACTTCGGGGGAAAATCTCGGTAAGAGTGTTTATGTTTTTGTTGTCTGGTCTTTTTTGTTGTTTGGGCTTTTCGGATGTTATTTTTTTGCTGTTTGGGCGGGGGCG